AGCGGGCTTTCTGAGTCGTCATGGTGCCCGCATACAACTCAGCTTTACACGATGAAAAGGAGTCAAACGATGAGTGCGTGGATCACCAACTGATGACGCCGCTACTAAGCGTGAAGCAATAGCCTTGAGAAGATCGACGGTCAGACTTGTCGTTAACCTATGACGAGTCATTGTAAACTTCAAGCTGTGGTGGGGATGTTCCACCAAAAGTAAGGTCATAGTCCTTGGTAGCCTGGAGGTAGCAAAGAACCTGTTTTGTAGTAGTCCAGTGAAGATACGTGAAACGTCCAGCAGCGAAAAAACAGGATAAAATGCTGATGAGATATGCAAGATCGGGCCTTGTGCACGTCGTGGCGTGCGTCAAGGGCCCAAGAAGCTCAAGATAGGCTTCGTGGCAAGGTTCTGGTGATGGAGTTGGTGGAGCAGTCAATGCGTGTTGGAGCGGAAGAGGGGTGGCGACAGGCTTAGCGTGGTCCATGTTGAAGCGTTTGAGCACGTTGTGTTGAATGCACGTCAGTTTAAGTGCATGACATCCTAACGTACTGCCTAGTGCTTGTGCTATTTGTGTTTGCATTATTTGCATGAGCATATGTCATTACGCATGGCTGTTGGATCCACATCTGTGTTTTTCTTCAAGTCTACATGCTTGATCATGCAGGGGAAATCCAGAGCTTTCCAACGATCCTAAGATCGCCTTATTCCGACCAAGATCGCCCAAGTTACAAGATTTCTAAGTTACGGGAATTCTATCTCATTTTGAGATATTATCTACATTTGACAATTATTGAGACATAATTATAAAAGAGTCTTTGTTAGAAAGGCAACTTTGACTTTTAGATTGGAGTGGTTAAAAGTTTTTAGCATGCATTGCAAATATTGCAACATCAGTTGGATTTTGCATGTGACACCTCTAGGATCTCATGCTGAGGGTTGTATTCTTGCTGCTAAGAAGGTTCCTACCATCCTTCTCTATCTTTTGGAGAACATCTTCCCTCTCATTGTTCTCTTGAAGTCCCCAACTCCAACTTTTTATGCCATAATGCTTTTACTTCCTCCACCATTTTAATCATACAGCAGCTGGACGTTTTCAATTGGTTTTCACTCTCTAAACCATTTTTTTGAGTGATTCAGATTAGAGATGATAGCTAAGTCTGAGGCGCATAATCCTACTGTGCGGATTTGCGTTTAGCTGAAAAATGAATTTGTCGTAAGTTCTCAAAGTGACGGATCCTGAACAACGCGTTGGACACGTAGAATTCTTGAGAGGGTGGCGGTGCGGTTGGGGTGATCTATTATTTCCATGCCGAGGTGGTTCTTAAGTTCGCCAAGGTCTTTCATGGTGAGAGCGTCACCAAGAGCCTTTTTTAGTGCTTCCAACTAAGCGAGGTCTTTTGAGAGAAGAATCATGTCGTCCATGTAGACGAGGATAAAGAATGGCTCGTTCATTTGACGAATGAAGAGACTTGGATCAGCAGCCGATGATGCAACTCGAGTGTCCCCTGGGTGAACTTCAATCTGTTGTGCCATTCACGTGGGATCTACTTCAGTCCATAAATAGGACAATTGAGTTTCCAGACTGTGCCAGGCAAAAATGGTGAAGGAAAGCCTTGGGGTCGTTCCATGTAGATGTCTTCAAAGAGGTGTCCTTGAAAAAATGCAAAAGCCACATCCACGTCGTTCGTTTCTTTGTGACGTCGAGCAGAATGCGGAGAGTGGTGGGTTTGGCTGTAGGAGAGAAAATATCGAAAAAGTCCAGACCCTTCTTCTCTGTGAAACATTGTGCGCAGTAGCAAGCTTTGAAGACCCTTCTTCTCCGTGAAACATTGTGCGCATTAGCAAGCTTTGAAGACCGGAACACCTACTTGCCATGAACAATGTTGACTCCGGGCAGAGGTGAGATGCCGTTGTACGAGTTGATGTGTGTGAAAGTCTCAC